ACAAAAGTATTCCTCTAATCAAAGTGAGCATTTGATGTGGGAAACTTACCTACAGGGCTAAAGCATATTTTTGCAAATATTTATTTCTTCTCTTGTTTAACCAAGCATTCTGACTTTGTCAACAGTTTTGGAAAGCTTTCATCAGGATCCTCCAGCAGAAAGCACAATCAACAGCCAACGGAAGCGGAAGGCATCAAAGGGCATGAATTATGCCAACCACAATGTATTTAAATGCTGCTGACTTTGCCAGCTCCTCATGGAGTATTGTGCTTAGGGATGGCAAAAGATGTGCTTTCCCCCCACTTTAAAATCTTTTAAATCTTATGCTGAAGCCATAACCGCTTATGCGACAATAGCTTCATTTGGGTTCAAAGAAAGAAGGATGTCACATTGAATGTTTCCATGTTGAGACAACATCCTATACCATTAACAGTGAGTACTCACATTACACGATGATGGCGATGACAATGATAATGATGATGATGATGATCATTATGAAATTTATTCATACCCCACCTTTTCCCTTGAGATTTGAGGTGAATACAAATATAACTAAATTTACATTTTAGTAATTTTAGTACATATAGTAAATCCCATTACAAAAAGGAATCTGATGGTTGATTGTGATGTGTTAAGTGAGGTTTACAACCTTCCTGATATTCTCATTTGTAAACATCAGACTGCTGACACAACAAATCAAATCAAAATATTTATTTCGGTCATTGACCAGCACAGGAAATAGTGTCACATTTCCATACAAACCTGGCATGTTTAGTACATTAAAAATATAAATATAACTACTAAAAACACAATATGGGTGGGGGAGCAGAAGGGGAAACGGTAAAAACATACAATGCCCAAATCCATCACCAAATTGTAGATTCAGGGAAGAAGATTACTGGACACACAGTTGACTTTTGGAACTAGTCATTCCCTGGCGGATCTTGTATGCTGCTGCACAGAACTTTGCAACACTGTAGGTTGTAGCTGAATTAGTACCTGCAAGTAGCATGGAGGTATAAAATTGTCCTGAATGGCCTGGGTGCTTGTCTATCAGAGGTAAGATAAGCCTGGCACGGATATCCCTGTAGAACGGGCACTGAAGGAGCACATGTTCTATTGTTTCTACATGACCCGAGTCACAGGGGCAGAGTCTCTCTGGGAAAGGGATCTTCCAGTAGCGGCCTTCCTTCGAGTACAGCTGATGGGAGAGCGTGGCATCGAGCCAGGGTGAAAGCCCTTCGATGAAGAGGAACCTCTAAGTTTGTTAAATATGCCATAGGGGAGGCAAGATATCTGCTGTCTTCATTGATAAGGAAGGTTGGAACCGAGGCCAGATCTAGTTGTCGCTCTGTGTCTGTGATACGTTGTTTAATAAGTGCTTTGGCTTGATTGTAATCCATAGCGAGTAGTAGACCTGGAGAAAATCCCAATGAGGAGATTTTGGATGCTACCGCCTGCTTCCATGTGGATTGGAAGTCATCCTCCATGGTTAGTGGGGCAAGGCCAAGGGGTGCACGGGACAGTCTGAGCCAGAGGTTAAGTATGGCCACCCACACCCTGGCCTCCACTCTCATAAAACCCGTCTCTAGTCGCAGGGTGGCATTAGAAACGCATTTAGGGACCTGCAAGGCCGATCTCAGAAACTTGGACTGAACCAGCTCTTATGGGGCAAAACTGGGGAAGGGGCCCAGCTGAGCACCATACAAGAGTTGGGCTAATGATTTGGCTTCAAACAGCTTGAGCGCTGCCGGTGTGAAGTGGCCCCCTCTTGTCCTAAGATATTTAAGAATGGCAATTGAGCTCCCCTGCGCGGTGTTGGATACTTGATCCCCATGAGCTCTTCTGCTACCATTAGATTGGAAAACTACACCTAGATATTTGAAGGATGTAACTTGTTCAATTTTATGACCATCTATGCTCCAAGAGTAAGTCCTGGGCCTATTAGCGAAAGCCATGATTTTGGTTTTATTGTAATTGAGTTGGAGCTGATCTGTGTTGCAATGTTGTATTAATGCTCTCAAAGCTCTTTTGAGCCCAATGGGTGTTCTAGAGAGTACAGCAGCATCATCTGCATAAAGCAGGATGGACATGTGTCTTCCCGCCAGCTTTGGGGGGTGGAAGTCCATGTTTCGAAGCTGGTTCACTATGGAGTTTATATAGACATTGAACAGCAAAGGGGCCAGGATGCAGCCTTGCTTGACACCCTTGCATGTTTCAACAGCCTCAGTGAGGTGGCCCTGTGGGTTGCATCTTACTTTGAGTGTGGTCTTTTCGTGAAGTTGGCGTATTAGATATAGTAGACGGCTGACACAACTGCAAATGCACCCCTGAAACCCACCTGTACTGAAAATGGGTCCAGGTTCTCCCCGCTCCATATAAATGTGATAAGGGGTTATGAGAGTATTCCTCAGGGACTCCTTTTTTGCTTGTCACATCATTTGTGGAATGAGGTTGACTCCATCTTTCTTCAGCACCTTGCATCAAAACTCTAGACTTTGGTACAGGTGCCTGGATTTTAAGATGGGTTTTGGGAGGAGAGAGTACATCTAGAAACAGAGTTTCTGAGATTGGGCTTAATTGGGCTGTGGTGGCACAATGGGTTAAACCCTTGTGGTGCTTAACTGGAGCGGGTGGTCGCTTCTCAGCTCCAGGATTTCCTGGATGACATCAATTGCCAGGACCAGTCACAGTCTGGCTTCAGACCTGGCCACGGCACTGAGATGGCTTTGGTTGCCTTGGTGGATTGCCTCCGCAGGGAGCTGGACAGGGGGAGTGTGACCCTGTTGGTTCTCTTGGACATCTCAGCGGCTTTCGATACCATCGATCATGGTATCCTTCTGGGACGACTTTCTGGGATGGGCCTTGGAGGCATGGTTTTGTCGTGGCTCCGGTCCTTCCTGGACGGCCAATCCCAGATGGTGAAGCTAGGAGACACCTGCTCGGACCCCTGGCCTTTGACCTTTGGGGTCCCACAAGGCTCTATTTTGTCTCCCATGCTTTTTAACATCTACATGAAACCGCTGGGAGAGGTCATCTGGAGTTTTGGAGTTGGGTGCCATCTCTACGCAGATGACATGCAGCTCTACTACTCTTTTCCACCTAACTCCAAGGAAGCCCCTCGGGTGCTGGATGAGTGCCTGGCCGCTGTGGCTGTCTGGATGAGGAGGAACAGGCTGAAGATTAATCCCGACAAGACAGAGGTCCTTCTGGTTGATCGTAAACCGGATTGGGGTATAGGGTGGCAACCTGTGTTGGACGGGATTGCACTCCCCCTGAAGTCACAGGTCCGCAGTTTGGGTGTCCTCCTGGACTCATCACGTACGCTTGAGGCTCAGGCGTCGGCGGTGGCCGGGAGGGCCTTCGCACAATTAACACTCGTGAGCCAACTGCGACCATACCTCGAGAAGGCGGATCTGGCCAGGGTGGTCCACGCCTCAGTCACCTCCAGATTGGACTACTGTAACGCGCTCTATGTGGGGCTGCCCTTGAAAACTGCTCGGAAATTTCAGTTGGTCCAACGGGCGGCGGCCAGGATGTTAACTGGTGCTCCTTACAGGAAGCGGTCAACCCTCCTGTTTAAGGAGCTCCATTGGCTGCCATTCATCTTCCAGACCCAATTCAAGGTGCAGGTTCTTACCTACAAAGCCCTGAACGGTTTGGGACCTGCCTACCTGTGTGACCGCATTTCTGTGTATGAACCCTGTGTACGAACTGTGTATGATCTCTTCGATCATCTGGAGAGGCCCTGCTCATGCTCCCGCCTGCATCGCAAGCGCGATTGGTGGAGATGAGATAGAGGGCCTTCTCAGCGGTGGCCCCTCGACTCTGGAATGCACTCCCCAAGGACATCAGGCATGCCCCAACTTTGGCAGTCTTTAGGAGGAGCTTGAAAACGTGGTTGTTTCAGTGTGGCTTTCCCAGAATAATGAACCCTTAGCACTATGTCCTCTAAAGCACCTTATACTGATTTAGGATCGTTTGTATGTTCCCACCAATGCCCCTTCTCTCCTATCTTGTTCATGCCCAGCATTATTTTAAATTTTAATTACATTCGGCCCAGCCATAAATTTTAAATGTGCGTTGTGCTATTGTCAATGTTTATGCTATTTGTGTTTGAGATTTATTTTAATTGCTTTGTATTGTTGTTGTTATTGCTTGTATTGATGTATTGTGGGCTCGGCCTTATGTAAGCCGCACCGAGTCCCTTGGGGAGATGGTAGCGGGGTACAAATAAAGTTTTATTTATTATTTATTATGCTTTGCTTGGCTATCGGAAGATCTGTGCACAATGGGTACCCAGGATGCTGATGAAGTGCACAGACTTCAGAAAACTTGTTCATCATTGGCAGAAATGTATCCAATTGTCTGGTGATTATGTGGGAAAGTGAATAGTGGTAGTTAAAGAACATTTTCTAAGGATTATTTCTGCATTTGATTTATTAAAATATTTCCATCCAATCAAGACATCAACTGGGGTGAGACAAGGGTGCATTTTAGCCCCTTTTCTCTTTAACTTCTATGTAAATGACATCGTAAATACATTATCCTCTGACAGTCTACATGGTCCTAAAGTTTTGTCCAGAACTATTAACATCCTGCTTTACGCTGATGACATGGTGATTATGGCAACATCTCCAGTGGGACTAAGAAGATCCCTGGCAAAATTCAATTTGTACTGTGAGCTAAATTCACTCACTATGAACAAGGTTAAATCCAAATTAATATTTCCATCCAAACCCAAGTAACGAAGGTGGAGGCATTACTTTTCATTCAACCCTCGTAGAACTACAAGTCTGAATGAAAATTCCCAGAGAAAAGGAAACGATGCGGCATTGTTTCTTTGTCCTTTCTTGTAAGGAGCTGATGGAAGCGGCATTCTTGGCTCTGATTGTTTGGGGATTATTAAAGTAATCTTGGAAATGATGAAACCAGCAGATTTCGTAGCGTTGTTAATTAAGAGCTGAGCTGGAAAGGGGAGTCACCCATCACCAAGAGAGTATAAAAGCCCTCTCCCTTCCACAGTCCTCCATCAATTCCATCACTTGCCTTCTCTTGCCTTCTACTCCTCTGAGGAACCGGTAAGCATGGCTTCTTCGTTGCATAGGAATCTGTGTCTCTCTTAAAATATGCTTCTATCCAGAGTTTAGAGTATTAGGATAATGGAAAGCTAGTCTACGATCTGAATTCAACAAAGCTTATGCTACCATTTGTTGTCTGTGTTCTAAGGCAGTGGTTCTCAACCTGTGGATCCCCAGATGTTTTGGCCTACAACTCCCAGAAATCCCAGCCAGTTTACCTGCTGTTAGGATTTCTGGAAGTTGAGGGCCAAAACATCTGAGGACCTATAAGTTGAGGACCACTGGTCTAAGGTGCTATAAGAATGAACATTTCTAATCCTGTACTTGTTGTTGTTGCTGTTGAGGCTGATACTGAAGAATTTCAGAACAACCTACAATTGTTATAGTTAGTTGTTCTCAAGTCATTGTTGAGAACAACTAACCCTGAAGGTTTCCAAGATACCTTCTAGAACAGTGGTTCTCAACCTGGGGTCCCCAGATGTTTTTGGCCTACAAATCCCAGAAATCCCAGCCAGTTTCCCAGCTGTTAGGATTTCTGGGAGTTGAAGACCCAAATATCTGAGGACCCACAGGTTGAGAACCACTGGTCTAAGGTGCTATAAGAATGAACATTTCTAATCCTGTACTTGTTGTTGCTGTTGAGGCTGATATTGAAGAATTTCAGAACAACCTCCAATTGTTATAGTTAGTCAGTGTTGACTTCTGATGATCCAGTGAAGGCTTCCAAAATACCTTCTAGAACAGTGGTTCTCAACCTGGGGTCCCCAGATGTTTTTGGCCTACAACTCCCAGAAATCCCAGCCAGTTTACCAGCTGTTAGGATTTCTGGGAGTTGAAGACCAAAACATCTGGGGACCCCAGGTTGAGAACCACTGTTCTCGAACATGTTAAGCAGTACCAATCTCAGGTACTACAGCCATTCATTGTACAGATAGTGATAACTTTTGTAGTAGACATATCATCTTGAGGTGCTTCCACACAGCCTTTTATCCCAGGAACATTCGTGTCTAGGAAAGGTGAATGTTCCTGGGCCCCATCCACACGCCCTCAAAGAGTGGGGTGGGTGTCCAGCTATTGTCCCGGAACTTTCCGAGAGAACACCCGGGCACTCTAACCCAGTGTTTCTCAACCTTCCTAAGCCACGACCCCTTAATACACTTCCTCATGTTGTGGTGACCCCAACCATAACATTGTCGAAGGCTTTCATGGTTGGAATCACTGGGTTGTTGTAGTTTTTTTCCGGCTATATGGCAAGCATCCTCAGAGGTAGTTCCAACAGACCTCACTACCTCTGAGGATGCTTGCCATAGATGCAGGCGAAACGTCAGGAGAGAATGCCTCTAGACCATGGCCATATAGCCCGAAAAAACCTACAACAACCCAACCATAACATTATTTTCGTTGCTGCTTCATCACTGTAGTTTTGCTAGTGTTATGAACTGTAATGTAAATATCCTATATGTAGGATGCATTTCCATTCACTGGACCAAATTTGGCACAAATACCCAAAACACCCAAAATTTGAATACAACTGGGATTGGAGGGGGATTGATTATGTCATTTGGAAATTGTAGTTGCTTTCATTTATAGTTCACCTACAATCAAAGAGTATTCTGAACTCCACCAATGATGCAATCAAACCAAACTTGGCACACAGAACTCCCACGACCAACAGAAGGGTTTGGTGGGCATTGACTTTGAGTTGTGGAGTTGTAGTTCACCTACATCCAGAGAGCACAGTGGACTCAAACAATGATAGATCTAGACCAAACTTGGCAAGAATACTCAATATACCCAAATGTGAACACTGGTGGCATTTGGGGGAAAATAGATATTGACAATTGGGAGTTGTAGTTGCTGGGATTTATAGTTCACCTACAATCAAAGAACGCCACCAAACTTTCCACACAGAACTCTCATGACCAACAGAAAATACTGTGTTTTCTGATGGTCTTTGGCGACCCCTCTGACACCCCCTCATGACCCCCCCTGGGGGTCCCGACCCCCAGGTTGAGAACCACTGTTCTAACCCCTTTCCCAAAAGCCTCCCATAGCACTTAAAAAAACAAAATAACTTACCCAGCCTCCATTAGAGGTGTGCTGGAGCTCTCCTGGCATGTAGAAATGACGTGCCAGGAGAAGAGGGGGGCAGGAGTGATTTTCCTCCTCCCTTTCTCCTGGTGCGACATTTCTATGTGCCAGGAGAGTTCTGACACCCCTCTAATGGAGGTCGGGTAACTTCTTTTGTTTTTTAAAGGGCTTTTGGGGGCTTTTGGGGAAGGGGTTCATGTTCTCATGGTTTTCCGGACTAATTTAGCCCAGCAAACTGTGGGACTACTGTCTGGACCACCCCCTCAAAAGTCCAGAACTTTTGAGGGAGCAGTCCGGATAGCGAAAGTAGTTGGTTTATGCCATGTCTTCCAAGAAGGTGAGGAATAAACCCACTAACAAATTAATTTGCAACAAACCAGGGTTTTCCAGGTTTGTGGTGCATTAATTTGGGTTTGCCCAGGATATCATCTGAACAGCCCCCTTTAAATTGTGGGAACTCCCGCATTAAAGGGGCTGTCTGGATGCGCCCTCATGCTACCTCTAGAGCAGTGGTTCTCAACCTATGGGTCCCCAGATGTTTTGGCCTTCAACTCCCAGAAATCCTAACAGCTGGCAAACTATTTGGGATTTCTGGGAGTTGTGGGCCAAAACACCTGGGGATCCACAGGTTGAGAACCATTGGTGTAGATGCACCCAAAGTCCTGTAGGTCAAACTCAACTAGAGTTGATTAAATGTTTGGTCAACACCACTTGGCTTTCAATAGTTTGTAATCACATCTTTGGTCCTCCTGATGGCCCTTCTTTTGTATTGGTTGTGTGCCTTCAAGTCATATTTGTGTAAGTATCGCAACCAGGGTTTAGATATTCCCGCATCTAGGGAAGGTTTCAGGTGAATTTCTTCCGATTGGTCTTGGCATTCTCTGATACCCATGGATCTCTCCTCCAATAAAACCAATTAAACACTTTACTAAAATAACAATTCTTCAACTATTCAAAGCTATTCTAATATAGAGATTGGGATGAAATGGATGAAGTCCACTGGAGAGATCTGTTGTTTCCATTAATGATGGACACTAGAAGACTTCTGAGGCATGGGAGAGAGACTATTTCCTCTTTAAAAACCTCTTTGCTGCCTTATACTGATTCAGTTTCTTCTTTTATATTGGCAGGGACTTTCTGTGTGCTGTTAAACCTTTGTACTTTATATCGCAGGCAATGACACACTCTTGTGTATAACGAAGTAACACAGTTTATTTATAACTTCTGGCTCCAATGCTTGTGGTTACATTTGTGTTTTGTTGCAATTTTGAGGCTTACAGTCAGTATCATTTACTTGGTTAACTTTTCTGAATAAACTATCAATTTTTCACATTCACAAACATGTTACTTGCTTTACACACTCTTGGCTGAATTATATTCTGAACTAAGGCAACACTAGCCTTCTTTATGTTCCTTAAAACTCGAGCTCTATTTAACTAACTAGTCTTTAAGACATTTTCATAAACTGCTTATTTCTATCAGGCACTCAAAAACCAACTCTCCTCTTCACACACAGATTCCTAACTGTCATTTTCAAATTCCCTCACTCTAACTGCCTCTTTCAGAACCTTGGCTCCGCCCCTTTGGAATGTTCAGCTCTGCTCTCCCCAGCTGTCATCCCGGCCCAGCAGCCTTTCCAAATCCTGGGTCTACACCAATCTGCATATGATCAATCGGCTTCACACACGCAAATGAACCCCATCTCTGCTGCCGCCACCCTGTCCGTGCCCACTCCTTCCCATCTGCCATATGCAAACACAGAGCCACACAGCAAAACTCTAACATAGAGTAGCAATTTCACTACAACTTCTTTTTAGCATCCCTCACAATCCCTCTCCTGTTCCTATCTTATCTCAATTGAATAGTCCTTCTTTTAGGAAGTTGGAGTAATAGTTTTGGGGGTTCTGGGGTAAGGAGACTCAGCCTGGTAGGCTTTTGATATCTTTCATGATTCCTCTCTTGTTCTTTCAGGCTCACTCCCATCACTCAACAGAATGGCCAACTGTGGACCTTTCAGCGCTGTCCCATCCTATGAAGCCTCTCCAGTCATTGGCTTTGGATCCGGAGGCTCCAGAGGCATTAACAGAGGCTATGGCTCTCGCTCTGGCTATGGCTCTAGCTTGGGCTTGGGCTTTGGCTCTGGCTCTGGCTTAGGTTCTGGCTACGGCCTTGGGGGCAACGTTGCAGACGCAGCCAGTTTGGGAGTCCTCTCCGGAGTGCAGCCATCTTGCATCAACCAACTCCCCCCATCAGAGATTGTGATCGACCCAGTCCCATTTGTGGTCACCGTCCCAGGCCCCATCATCGTTGCCACCCCCGAGCCTATTGAAGTTGGAGGATATGCCCCATGTGCTGTTGGTGGCGTCGGCATCAGTGGGTTTGGTAGTGGATTAGGTAGTGGATTAGGTAGTGGATTAGGTAATGGATTAGGTAGTGGATACTATGGTGGTCTCCTTGGTGGTCGTCTTAGAAACCGTTCCGGATTCCTGGGAGGAAGAGGCAACAACTGTGGTCCCTGCTCGTAAGTTCTCATGGACTTTTGGTGCAAGGAAAAGGAACAACGGAACATCTCACAATGGAACACTCTGGTCTGGATTAACTGAGCCGAGAACCCCCTTCCTGGATTAAATCTATGGGAATTTAGGGAGTGCTTGACATCACTAGGCCTAACTATCTGTTTCAGATCCCTCTCTATTGCCTCTATTTATGTTCTTCTCTGCATTTCCCTACAACCCTTCTGCTAAACAACTAGAAGAGCAAAGTTTCGTTCAACCCCTTGTGTGAATGTAGTGTTGCACGGGTAAATTGGAGTTGCACAAAAACTACCCAAGCAATGTATATTAACACAGATCCACCTCACCTGTTGCCAATGTAATAACTGCAACCTCATGAGTAATGTGTTCTTTTGGATTTGTCTACTTCCATTCTTCAATAAATATGACTCTGCATGATAACTTTCTGGTTTCCTGCTTTTTGTTACAAGTTAAGTATATAAGAATAATTGCATGGAGTGGACATAAGGTAGGATGGAAAAAACAACATTCATGCAGCAGATGTTGTTGGGGAAGATGGACTGATTCCCATGAATATCTTCTCTTCTACCAGAGTTCAAAACAATATCAATGCAACATATCCAGCCCTGTGCCCCCAATTACATATGCTATCCCACCCAGGGCCAATCCAGCCTGTCTCTATATGTGCCGTCACACCCAGACACTATAAAAATAAAACTAAGATGTGCTTCTCCCTATATCTGGGCGAACTGCGGATGTCTCTCTTAGAAGCTTGAGATTCCCAGCAACTGAGGCTACTACAGGTTTTGAACATCAAAACAAAATATTTATTTCTCAAAGTCCTTGCAGACTTGGCACAGCTTGTCAAAGTTACAAACAAAGCAGTCAATTAGTGAAACCATAGAGATGTTCTTTCTTTCTTTTTTTCCTCTACTCACTGAGTTGCCTTCATCCAAATGGTAGAAAAAACCCTGAGATCTTTTTACCCCAACCCTGAGCTACTATCTGTAGAAAGTAGGCCTGGGTAACAACGGAAAAATTTGTTTCTAAAATCGATTTGTATTTGGGGTTTTTTTTTGTTTCGATATTTAAAATAATTACAAAATTTTCCTTTTAAAAAGTTCGATATTTACGAAATTTCGTAAATGGTAAAAAATTAACGAATCGATTTCCGAAACAATAACGAATCGATTCGTTAATGGCGGACGCGACCGCGAAATACGCTAAAAAACTCCAAAACCTTCTGAAGCTTCCCTCTCCCTCTGTTGTTGACTGTTGGTGTGATATTATAATTTTTTTTCACTAATTAAACCATAAAACTGGCCCAGACATGCGGAAAATAATAACGAAACGACCTCAAAACAATAACGAAACGAATACAATATCGAAATACGAAGCATTTACAAAACGTTTTTGAAAATTCGTTTTTTTAATAATTGCTCCAGAATGGTTCGTTATCGTTTTGTAATTGAAAAAATTAACGAATTATTAACGAATTACGAATTAACGAAACAAAACCGCCCAGCCCTAATAGACACATCTTATACAATAATAAATAAGGAGGATTTGGAATGGTTGGAGGAAGATTCAGAAGAAGTAGAGGACAAAATTTGGAATATATATATTTTAAGGACATAAAAAGGAAAGAAATTAAGAGAATAAAAAACCCAATGCTGAGAAATGTGATAGGAATTTGGAATAGATAATAATAAGGAAATATTATTATCAGAAAGTTCAACACTAACACCAATAATAATGGATTAAAAAAATCCCCAAAAAATTAAAAAAAACTTATTAGATAAAAAATTAAGAGAGAAGAACATAGATAAGATTGGAGATTGGATAAAAGCAAATATGAGGAAAGAAATTATATTGAGAGAATTTAGAGATATTAAACTCTCATGGTTCCATTGCTTACAACTAGAGCAATGGTTCAAGAATTGGATAAAAAATAATGGGAAGGAGGCAAACTAACGCAAGTTGAACAAATGATACAAAAAGAAAGAGCTACAGAAGGAGGATAACACAAACTGAAAGGAATAACTAGCAAAATATATAAGATAATAATTGACATTAAGGGGAAAAAAATAAAGGATGTAACATTAAGTGTTGTAGCTCAGCGTCCTCACAGAGCTGCTACTCCTAGTAGCAGTGGGGAAAGGTCTCCTCGGGAGTCAGAGAGTGAAAGGCAGCATCAACACGTTAGAGAAATCCTCCTGGCACCAAGCAACAGTGATACGTTTATGGGCTTCTCAGATTATGACATGGGGGATGGGGAAGCATCTAGAGGTGTTAAAAGGACTGTTTGTGAGCCAGAATCTGAAGGAGAAGCACAGAGGAAGTGTATTCGGGAGTTACTACTTAGGGAACCCACTTCTGAGGAGGACTTTTTGGGCTTTGAGGGGGATTTGGAGTCTGGAAGTGACATGGAAGGGGAGGAATTGGATTGGACTCAGGTACAGAATATAAGAGACTAGGCCTGGGCGGTTTCGTTCGTTAATTTTGTAATTCGTTAAATATTTGTTAATTTTAGCAATTACAAAACGATTACAAAACTTATTTTTAAACCCGGAAGTGTTTTTAAATATTGAAACGGCATGCGCCAAATATTTTTGTATTTCCGTCCATTTCGGAAATACGTAAGATGGCTATCCTTGCTGGGAGCTCTCCTCTCTCTCCTCTCCTTAGCCAGTCAGAGCCTGAAAGAGGAGGAGGAGGAGGAGGAGGAGGAGGAGGAGGAGGAGGAGGAGGAGAGGGCGGGGAAGGCGCCGGCTGAGCAAGCGAGCGAGAGGGCGAGCGACCCTCAGCGGGAAGGCGGCCCGTCCCTCCTTCCTCACCTTTGCGGTGGGTGTGCTTTGTTCTCCCAATTCCGCACTGAAACCTTAGCGGAGGGCTGGGCTAGATGGCCTTTGGGGGGTGAGGGGGCGCGTGCGCGCGTGTGTGTGCATGTGTGTGTGTGCCGTGGTTGTTGTTGTGTGTTTTTGATTTCTGAGTGGATTAGTTTGTACCTTGTTGGTTGCCCTTGGTGGAGTTTCATTGGGGGGTTTTTGAGTTTTGTTTCCTCATACGACGCCAGGAGGAAATTTATATATATAGATAAAGTCCAGAAAAGCCAGAGCGTGGTCAAACCGGTCCTGAGGTCAATCCGAAGGAATCAAAGCTGGAAAACTGGAAAGCTGGAAAACTGGAAAGCTGGAACAACAGGAACTCACGAGGCTGGAGCCCGGGACCCAAAGGTGAGAGTTTGGCAAGGCAAAGAGTAAGGTCCCATTTGGACACTTTGCTTCCTGCAACCAAATGTGCCAACAGAACTCCCTTATATCTTAAAGCTCATTGTCAGAGCTTGATGAGCTCCCCACCCTTTCATCATTGCTATCACCTGCTTCCAAGTCTGCAGCTGAATGCCCATCTCTCCACCTTTGCCAATTACTATCAGGGGTCAGATTCTGCCAAGAATCACCTGGCTGCCAGTCCCACGTGAACCCCTCGAACTCCTCGCTGGAAGTGGGCTGGTTGCAGATGTCTCTTATAGGCCTGGGTAACAACGCAAAAATTTGTTTCTAAAATCGATTTGTATTTGGGGGTTTTTTTTTGTTTCGAT